CGAGGCAGCATCGGCGACCAGACTATAGTGGCAGCTGGGCAGCGCAGACGGATGTAGAGTAGGTCGTCGTACATCACGTGAAAAGAGTCTTGGAGGGAACCCCACAGGTCATTCGACTCGAGATGGATGACAATGAATGACCTGCATCGGCCCTCTCGCTAATGAGACTCTCAAACCTGCCTTTGAGGCCGGCCAACTTGAGACCCCCTTTGCCGACCAGATCACACCCCGGCGACGCCCAGGTTGCTCCGTTGCGGACCCAGATGTTTCTGCAGCCTCGCCATGTAGCTAGAGCCGATCACCCAAGCTGGCCCTGCAACCCATAAATGCACGAATTATCTTTGTGTGCTCAGGCGAGGAATGCGAATATATGACTGGTATCGCGTTAGATCTCCAACGCCCAAATTCCTGTATTTGCTCTGGACGGTATGCCTTGCAATGCTGCCATGGTTGCAGCCCCTATGCGAAACGATGAATACAGATTAACATTAATGGGTTCCTTTGCTGCTTGAAGAGTCCTTTTCAGCACTGCCTGAAACTGAAATCTTGTTAATGGGGCGGAGTTTGTGTGGACAAATAAGTACCCGTCCGCTCGTGGACGCACTGATAAAAAGCGTGTGAGGGCTTTGATAGGGCATAGCATACAAGCTGGAACTGCCTGGATGGCAATGCGTGTGCCCCAGCCTTGTTAGTCCGTTTTGGAAGCCCGTAGTACCACCTCCAGGTAGGATTGATCGCTAGCAAAAGATACATCCGTTAGCAACACTGCGAACTGTGATTTTGTCGTTACTTGAACCTGCCACTACCTCGCTTACCTTGAAAAAAAACGAAAATGTCAGTAGATATGCTGCAGCAAATAGCAGGGCTTCATATGAAGACCTACAAACCGTGGGATGGAGTTGCAGAATGGCGTCAAGCAGATCCACTGTAATAGGCTGTCTCCTGTCCGGATGCCCCGACGACATGGACATCCCTGCAATGGCTTTCTGCACTAGAAAATGATTAGTTATGCACTGCAAGGAATGGAGCTTATGGCTGGACGACAAGGCTGAAACGTAGGAGCGGGCCGTGCTCGGTGACCTACCTGATAACGAGAGATAGGCTATAAAATGAAGCATATGAACTAAAGGGGACTGGCCATAGGTCCGGCAGGGAGTACACTGCCCGAAAACCCCGCAGCGACTGCACTGCCGACTCATATGCCCTCCAGGTGTTTGCCGCCATCGAGTTGGCTACCAGACTGCTTGCACTTCTGCTGTTAGATGAGCCAGATGTCCGCTGGGATTCCGGAGGCCTGTTGATCCGCCTGAGGGGCTGCAGCTCGGAACCATGACCACTGAAATCTCGAAAGAGCGTCTGCTATTATGTTATCCTGTGAGGGTATATAACGTGCCTTGAAGTGGATGTTGTTTCGCAAGCAAATCAGGACCATACGCCTGAGCAGTTTCATGACCCTTTCCCCTTTTGCTGTGTGCCTATTGATAATACTCACCACCGCCTGGTTGTCGCAAAACATTAGCACTCTTTTGTTCGCCAAACTGCTGCCCCAGATCCGCAACGCCATGACTATCGGGAAAAGCTCCAAGAATGTCAAGTCTTTCACCCATCCTTGTTGTAGCCATAGGTCTGGCCACTTGGCATTGGCCCAGTGGCCTTGGAAGTATGCACCACAACCCCATGCTTCCTGCTGCATCTGTGTAAAGTTGTAGAAATGGGGTAGAAACCCATCCTTGTTCCAAGAATAAGGTTGTGCCGTTATGCTCGGCAAGGAACTGAAGCCATAGTGCGAGGTCCTGTCGCATGCCCGCTGATACGCGTATTCTGTGATGCGGTTTGCTTGCCCCTTTTGAGCATCTATTAGACGCCGCAGAAATGGACGGCCCATGGGAATTGCCCTGCATACAAAATTCAGCTTACCTACTATTGATTGCAGGGTATGCAGAGTGACGGATTCTTGGATGGAGACGCTACCAGCTGAGATAACTGATGAGTCAGTTGCGCTATCTTGTCCTGTGGTAACCTAATTTCCCCCCTCACCGTGTCTATGGTGAGACCAAGGAATGTAAAGACAAGTTGTGGGTTGCACCGTTTTGGTGTGCAATTGGCACGCCCAGGCGATTGGCGAATTGAAGGTAAGTCTGGAGCATGTGCGAGCAGGTGTTCAAATCCGCCGCAGCCAGGATAAAATCATCCAGATAATGAGCTATATCCTGGCTGCACGTTTCGGCCTTAATGGCCCATTCGATGAAAGTGCTAAATGACTCGATGGGGCACAAGAAATGGAACAGCCGAAGGGGAGACATTTATTAATGAAAACTTTTCCCTGAAACTTCATGCCAAGCAGCTGAAAGTCCGACGGTGCAACCAGCAGGAGAGGAAAGACATGTATGCCCACTGCCGAGATTTTGGATCATAGCTACCGCCTGATCAAAGGTGGTGTACTGAACTGTGCATGCTTCCTGCGGTATATAGTCGTTCACCGATGAACCTACAGGATATGACAAGTGATGGATGAGGCGGAAGGCAGCCTCACCCTGGACAGATGAATCCGCTTTCTTAGGCACCAAGCCGATTGGGGAAACTATCAGGGAATCCACTGGTCTGTGTGTAAGAATGGGCCCGCTATGCGACCCAACTGAATTTCTTTACATAGTTTCTGCTCCACCAGTAGTGGCTGCTCGATCGCAGATTTAAGGTTGACCGCATCCCGAGCAACCCTTGGCCCTGAATATTTTAAACTAAAGCCCTGACTAAAACCTTGTTCCAGTAACTCAGCTGCTAATGGGTTGATTGAATGATAGTGCTTCAGCCACTGACGCAAGTAAACAACATTAACTGGAGATGGGGCCATGCTAAGCATTCCTGGCTGGCAGGGCAGTGGGTCGCTTAGGGGTTTGTGCGGGGACTGTGTTGTGCTTTTGGCACGTAAACAGGACGATGCCCCATGGCCGCCTATGTTGCATGCCGAGCATTTGTCTGCATAACGACATGACTGTCCCCTATCACACATGGCACGATTGAAGCTCCTACAAAGAGCCTCAATAGGCGTGCGCTGTTGGGGGTAGCTGGGAGTAGCTGGCAGAAGGTGTGTGTGTCTGCTCTTTATTGCTAGGAAGCATCAGCTGCAGCCACAGTTGTCCATCAATTGCGCCCCAAGAGCGTGATGGGTCTCTCTCCATTTTCTGCCGAAACTGTGTGTCATATTGGGACCAGCAGTTACCGCCGAACTTAGCAGCAGCTCCACGGATTGTCTCCATGTATGACAACATTTGCTGTATGTAATTTACGTCAGTTTGACGCTCAATGACTACACTGATGTAAGTCAAAAAGGCTGACGTCCAAGACCCAATGCTTAGTTGACGAGTGGACTGCTGCCTGGGTCTAAATGTTACCTGGCCTGAAGGGTCAAGCTCCATCGTAAAATTCTGACACTCCTGAGCTGATTGGTTTTCTGCTGGTAAGAGGGATTTCATATCAACAAACTCCCCCCGGTGTATTTTTCCCTTACCGCCTGCTGCTTTAGGTGGAAACCAATGGTCTCAGCCCTAAAGCTAAGCTGCTGATGTGGCAGCATGTCTGCATTCACGAGTGTGTTGTTTGTGAGGGGTTGGCTGAAACACCCCGTCTGAGGTGTGGAGGGAGCTACTTGAGCTGGCTGTATACCAACCGGTGCCTGATCGCCACGAGGAATCAATAATTCGGGCAATATGTTCACATGATCAAAGGGAGACATACCTTGTGCGTTGACTGATGGAGCCAGCGGGGTCGCCGCAGGGGATGCCTCCGGTTGTTGGGCCTGACAGGCCTGGGGGCAGTGCTCATGGGGAAAGCACCAGATGACCGTACCCCTTTGTCTGTCGTTTCGCCGCTCTAGCACGTCCCTTCACGGCGGAGTGGTTGAGTGCTGCCTTGCGCTTTGGAGGCATGGTGATAGCACGTGGTGATCTACAACTAAAACTTGTCAAAAAAGTTGAATGAAAAGAGGACAGAAAAGAAGCCAAATGGAAGCGAACGCAATTACTAGTATTTGATAAAGAATTCCGAATTAAGTTGACAGCACGACGCGATTAGAGAGAATTATTTAGCAGAGGCAAAATGTACGACTTGACCGGAGAAGGATAGAAAGGACGGATATGACGTATGCTTGCAGATGTGACGTCACTCTGGAAGTGACGTAACTGCTATTATGGGATGCGGAAGAACAACACTGCCATGTGCGTTGCTGTGCTGGTTAGTTCCTATAAGCGAAAGCTAGGGTTTAAAGTTGTGCACAAGTATTGTAAATACTGGCTATGAACATGTTTACCAATTTACTTCTAAATGCCCTACTGCTGCTATTAATAAATGCTGAAATAATACACCGCCTCCTGTACTGCGACGCTGGATGGATACTATAAGCCAAGGCAAGTACTACAGTTTTAAAGTTATGCGCTAAATTGTAAAATTTTTAGTGAAACAACGCTAAATGTCAATGTTGAAGAACGAGTGCATCACGCCGCCATAACAGTGGTCATGCGTATGAATATATTTCATTGATGATTGCCACCATTAGTCTGTTTGATGTGATTTTTTAGGGGATATGAAAAAAAGGGACCCAATGACTTCAACCAGTGCGTAATAACATTGGAGATTTACATTCAGTATATATACATCCCCCTTCTTCATGTTCCATTCCTGCTTGACAACGGTACAAGAATCTGTATCGAAACGTCGCATTCACGAATAAAATAGGTTGTTATCCATAGAGTTTGTTCTATAATGTACTTCCCAACTTCTAAAATGCCACTCAAAGAAATTGCAGATTTATTACACAGTGATATCTTCAACGGGTGAGAAATAATATGTCATATATATACTAAGATGGGTGAGATGTGTATGACAATAGTACATTGTAGGATACAGGTTTAAGGTAGTGCCGACGCATAACTGTAACCCTTAATTTCAGGACAATTTGGGGACAAGAACGACAATTTCTTGAATTTATAACTTTGTGCATTTAGTAAAAGCGGCGTCACACCAAGGGCGATTCAGGAGTTTGGATTTGGAGGAGGGAGGATTTGGTTGGATGACTTGAGCTGCTCCGGTACAGAATCGTCTTTGGCCAGCTGTTCACACGGAAAATGGGGCGTCCACGATTGTCAACACATTGAAGATGTTGGCATCATATGTGATCCAAGTGAGTAAACATCTTGTCAAATATTTACTTGAATACGAAGGGCATACTTTTCATCAGTTAACTATTGTTCTTGTGCAACTCGTTCATGGTCACTGTCTATTCTCGGTCAGAATTAGGAATACGTAAAGATGAATTCGAAAAGAATAGAAATCTCCCCAACCGAAAGAGTACTTGATTCAACACGACAACGCTTCGTGCCACTGTTGGCTCTCATCATAATTGAATTGACAGTGCCTCGTTGACACAGACACAGGTACATCTGACAAATGCGTTGGAAAAAAGAAGGGAGAGAGAGTCCTGCAAAGGGAATCCGTAGATTTATTCATCTGTTCCAGGGAGGTTTATGGAAGTGACAACAGGTACTTATATGATCACACTCCATGTAGACATACGTGTCGTGTGAGAGGGCAGTCAGTATTGGCTTTATGTCTACAGAACATTTGACTATCACCATGCTTCGTTTCATCCCCATATAAACGAAATTAAATGAAATATGCATACTGAAATGTTTCAAAGTTAGTCTATGGCTATCCAGTTTTGAACAATGTATAAGAGAACATTTAATGTTTTCGCTATGCTGCTTCACCAGGTGACATAACCATGAAGCTGACAAGCTACAAAATGGACTCCTGCAGGTACTCCACTCCGGTAGCTGGGGAACAGTGTGTGATGATGGCTTTGGAGCAGTGGAAGCTACTGTTGTGTGCAGGGCTCTGGGGTACCAGTAAGTGGTAGTTCATTATCTTCTTTCACGAAAAACAATTAATTAATAAACAGTCTTTCATTGAAAGATATCAACCTAGGGTTATTAACTTTGTAAAAGTTCAAAGCCACAGGCAAATTATTTGAAATTTATTTCAAACTCATTATCTCAAACAGGGAATGATATAGCATGTAAAACGATCACTTAGAGTGCCGAGTAAGGTTAGAAATTACATTTTTAACAACTTATTAAATCTATATCTGTAACACCTATACACTGGTGCAAATAAAGATGGAACAGCTTTGACTCGTGTTGTAAAATGCTGACACGCTGATGATGATTTCTGCTGCATGCTGTTCCACTGATCGGGGTTCGAAACCCGAATTTATAAGCTTGCCAGCAGCAGCCCCGCGCTCCTTGGTTTCACCAAAGTGATACAAATCTGCGGTCTGCATCACACATCATGCTGTCACGCCAAATATAAGCTTAACAGTTCAAAGCAGCGTCAAACCAATCCATCTAACCAACCATAATATGTCACTAAAATAAGATGGTTCAGTTTTCCGAAAAGGCCTCTATTTATGTTTCCTTTACAGGATTGGAAACGTAATTGATGAAAGCAGTACCAATAAAATGTGGCTAGATGACGTCCAGTGCACGCTGCTGGACACAGATCTAAAGGACTGCAAGCACCTGCCATGGGGAACAAATAACTGTGGTGGTTCTGAAGCTGTTGGTGTTGAGTGTTTTTCTTTTCCTCTAGGTATGGTTTGGATCATTGCTCGTGACACTGATCAATGGATTGTCTGCTAAGGGGCACAATTGTTTACTGGCCATATGATTGCATTATTACTAAACAGAGGCTGATCACTCAGACGTACGCAATCTACGAGACAGGATACAGTAGTGAGTGAGTGAGTTAAAATTTAAAGTCACTTTGGCAATATTTCAG